CCAACAGCGAGCCGGGCGGCGGGGGGGGGGGGGGGGGGGGGGGGGGGGGGGGGGGACAGTTGCCCCCGGGCGCACGGCTGAGGGACCGTAAACTCAAGGACCGAAAATTACGTTTTTGTTTGGACTTTATTTGAACTCCAAATAAAGTTTGCGCCCCCCTCAGCCCTGCGCCCGGGGGCCAACTGTCCCCCCCCCCCCTCGCTACGCCTCTGCAAACAGCATTTGTGTTGGAGACATGCATGACAGTTGCACTGAAATAAAGAGAACTCTCGATTTATATAAAAAGAATATGCATATCAAAATCATATTCACCACATAGATATCAAAATCCGATATTCCCGAAATTCCTTCTCAGCTTAGAGGAACTTGAGCGATCAATTGGATTCAAACGCTGACAGTATCCTTAAATCATGGATTTCCTTTACGAAAGAGGAGTAAATTTTGTCGAGGAATGATTCCTGTCGATCACAATCCCGCTGATCTCGATGGTGATCCGATAATTGCAGCGACAAAAAAAAATATTTTCAAAGCAATTCTAAATTTTACATTTTGAGGTGGGAAAGAAAAAAACAGAAGGAAGAGGGAAAGCAGAACGTCATGCTGATTTAAAGAAAAAAAAAGGGCTCTTTCGAGTCGAGGAAATCAAATTGAGGGTCGGCATGCCGAAGGGTGAGCCACCACGATGCAGCCACCGTTGCATTGTGCGGACGAAGATCAAGTGACATTGCTGCTCTCAGAGGAGGGTTACATCGCCACTCCCGAAGGAGGTCGCATCTCTGCCAGCATGATCGGAAATAAGGTCATCCTGCCTGTCGCGATCCCAAAACTGATAGCCATGGAGTCGTCCATCCAGGGGGGAAAAGCTGCCTCTCGGCTCCTCCCCACCGTCGCTCCTCGGACGAGCTCTGTGTTGGTGAGGCCGGGACTCACGGCTGCTCGCGCCACCACCAGGTCCGTCCTCACGCCGAGCCCTCGCACCGCGAGTCGCTGTGCCTGATAAAGTCACGATGACAATGAGACTTTGCACTTGAAACGATTTCGAATTTTTCACCAGCATCTTCTGTACTGTAGATCAAGACTCGGTAGCGGAACTGTCTATTAAAGGAAATATTTATCGGTGACACTGGCCGAAAATAAATTTTCTGGCATTTCTCAGGAAATCTGGAAATCGAAATGTAAATTAGTCTTAGGAAGAGAAACAAATTCTTGTTGAATCCTTAAGTGCATGTAGATCCAAGACATCTCTCAAGAAGCGTATAACATTGTATCAACATTGATTGGATGCTGATTCGATGGAGCTGGGGTTTTCTATCGAATATTACACTATCACTTCAGACTTTAGCGAAGAAATAAGACTGGTGTGGCAGAGATTGCTTGATTTTGGTGCAAGCTTCTGGATGTTCTGGATGATTAGGTTTTTAAAGTTTACCTGGGTCTAAGACGCAGAATGGAGCAGGGAGATCTTTCTTTTTCAAACCCTGGCTGCATTCCCATTCATAGGCTAAATTTACTGTCATAAATCTTTCGTGAGGTGAAGATCATGGCCACTACCGAGCTTCAACATGGAAGCCAATAATGATATTTAAAAAATTAACTGATCCTAATTGTTTTCCTGAAGCACGCACAAATGAAATAATGTCCTACAATCTTGGCGTTCCTCATCGAATGCACGAACGTTTTGGGTTTAGTCTCCTTCAAACAACCCCCACACACGCACACAGACACCCTCATCGCCAGCACCCTTGCACAAACGCATGCTCGACTAAAAACATAAATGCAGCTTCGACTTCGCCGAAGCGTGAATAAACAGAGATGGACAGACGGGGCTGAAAACGAATCTCGAAGATCGCAGTCCCGCTATGAATCACCCAACGGATGCGGATCGGTAAGTTTGGAAGGGCCAATTCTCCGTGCCTTCTGCAATAAACAAACACGCCTAAACATCACGACGGAGTTTTTTGCTGCATCGACGGAATATGATTGATTTTCAAGGTCTTGGCCTCGCAGAGGGACTGGAGACAGATTCTGAGTATTGCCTGGGTCAGACACGGTTACGGTCCGGTTCACGGTTTTGCTCAGGTCGGTCACGGAAAGGAAAGGTTCTCGAAAATTGAGACCGTTTATATAATTTAGGGTTAGGATTGGGGTCTCTTCTCAGGTATTTCAAGGAAAATGCCTTCCTGTAACGGACTTGAAAGAAGGTGTCTTGGACTACGTCTGGCACTGAAGAAGAAGATGAAGCTAGTTCCTATTTGGTCGAGAGAGAACCCCACTCGAGATTTTCAACGTTCCCTCACCAATACGAAAAGAGAGAAATGAAGACCCACAACATCCTGCTAGCTTGCGTTTCCTCACCTCTGGCGGAAACGGGAAGCTGGCTGCACTTGCGCGAGGTAGATGATGATGGATGAAGGATAGAGGAAGATTGCATAGTCGATGAGCAGTCCGCCATCGTGTTCCCACGCGCCCCTGCACCATGAGGACGGTTCAATTTACGAGTAATACACCCCAGATAGTGTCCTGGAATGTCTTTGTGTCGATGGGCAAAATATAATCGTCATTTGTTTTCTTTCAAAATACAAGAATACTCCACGATGAGGAGTTCATCCTCATGGACTTAGAAAGCATTATTGGAAGTATTTCAATTAGCTTCCACTTCGCTTCATCACTAGGGTTAGCTAATTTTAAGATTCTAGGCAAGTTGAGATCTCTCATTGCGACGGAACGAAGATTGGGAACGACTCGGCTCACCACAACGACTCTCTCGCGAGAGTCAACACTGTTAGAATGCTAAAACGATAGGGGGAGGAAAAGACTGACGTCATAGTATAGGGGAAATTCCGCCCTTCGTGCTGCAGTTCTCCTCCCGCTTGTCGGTGATCTCGTTGAGACCCAGGAATGGTGAGCTGTTCGAGATCCCGAGGGGAATCCCACGCTGCAACATGACGAAAATTCCTACATCCGCACTGCACCGCGTTCTTTATTGCTGGGAACAAAATCCAAACCGAACGGGAAGGGGAGATTCCACATCCTCGAAGAAGTCTTAACTTCTTTTCCCCTATCTATTAATAATTGCTTGCTCCCGTTCCGATCCCGAGACGTATAAAACTTAGAGGGAAAATGTAGAGTTTTAAAATCATCCAGCCCCCATATCTTGCTTTCCCATCCTAACTTTGTAATGAAGCATGATTAGGTCTACGATGCGGCCGACGATGATCGGAGAAGACATACAGTATACTTAGTTTGAAGATGCACGTCGTAGAAGAACGGATAAAGAGAATAAAGCATTGAGAGGGAGAAAAAGTGGAGTGAAACGCTCTGGGGAGTGGACACACAGCGGCAGGCATCACTGAACACCGCCTCCGTCATCACCACCTCTTCCTCCGCATCCACCACCATTCGCTTCTTATCTTCCTTCTGCTCCACCACCTCTTTTGTCTCCCCTTTCCTCCCATTCTTCATGACCACCTTCGGCTTCTTTTCTTTCTTCTTCACCACCACACCTTCCCTCTCCTTCTCTTCCTTCTTTACTTCAGTCTCCCTCTCTTCCTCCTTCAGAACTACCTTTAGCTTCTCCTTCACCGCCGTCGTCTGCTCCACCTCTTCTTTCTTCCTCGCCACTACTTTTTCCTCCTCCCCTTCGTTTTCCTCATATTGTGAGCAATGAAGGCAAGACGGGCAGACCCTGTTGATCCAGGAAAGGCAACGCCCGAACCACCGTGCACATCGATCCATGAGACACTGGAGGCTCTCACAGAATCCAAAGACTCTCTGGGAATCTCCTGCTTTCGCTATTACAGATGGACGCAACTCGAAGATTCCAAAGCAGATCACGGATTGCTAGGATACCGTCCGACTCACCATGGACACGGTCCATTTTCAAGCGAAGCAAATATACCAACATGTGAGAATAAGGGTGGATTTTTGAACAGAGCACTATCCGATAATGCAGCTTTATTTCAGAGAAAATGCATTATAAATCCGGTAAATAAAGCTGCATTATCGGATAATGCTCTGTTCAAAAATGCACCCCAAACCTTTTTCTTTCTTTTTACAGGTTAACCATGACCTCAAAAGGAGTCATTCCAATTGAAAAATAAAATTATATAATTGTATGCTGAGTACTGCATGCATGTATGCTGAAAAAATTGTATGCTGTGTACGGAGAGTTCTATCAATAACTTGCGAATCGGAATGTTAGGAATTCGTCTATTCTTGGAGAATGCGGAGGCCGCGCGAACCATCCTTCAATGACTCGGCCGATTAACACTGACTGATATTGCAATGTCCTGAAAGACATCGTTGTGCCACTGTTAAGTGAACATCGTAACGGACACCACCTTTTCCAACAGGATGGTGCTCCCGCACTTTATTCATCGGCAGCACGTGCAATTTTTGATGGTAATCTCAGTGGTCAGCGGGCCGAATGAGAGGCCCGTGAGGTCCCCAGACCTCACTGCTGTACACTTTTTGGCTAAAGGGACACCCTAAGAAGCAAGTTCATGTAACAAAGCCATGAAGCGTTCAGGAGTTGGGGGTGATGATTCATGAGAAAACTGCTAATATTTCGGAGGATATGTTTCATCGTACAATGGACGGCCTTCCGAAACGTTTGTCAGACCTGCGTGTACGTGCGTGTGGAACAGTTTGAGGCAGTTAGATGACTGTGAACGGGTGACATGTGAATTCCTGCTATTACAGAAGAGTATGCGTAAAATGAGGCATGGCACACTTCTCTATGCGTTTTCGTTCATGATCTACAGCCCGTCAAATCCATTCACAAAGGTTTCGAAACTGGGAATGCAGAATCACGTTCGCCTACAGCTGCATTGCCATGAATTTGTTGCTCAAAATGAATGGGATTTGGGGTCCTCCGAATTCAACCGTTCTTAGACATTCCCACCTTCACTGGTGCTGGCATATGCAAATAAGTGCTTCTCTGCTTCGACAGTTGCCCCTTCCCTACAACCGGTTAAGCGAAAGGTGGCATCCCTATTTCTATTTCTTCACAATTCGCGATTCACCTACACATTAAAATTATTGAACGTGCACAAGGAATCTGTCAGAGAAAGTGGAGCAAACGTGATTGCTAACCGATACAGATGGTGACGAAATTATGTATTTGTTTCACTCGTGACGAAACGAGAAAATCCTAGCTCGTTGACCCAATAACCAAGGGCGGTGATCTCTAGAAGTAAAGTACCTTGGTACGGTAACTACATTCAAGGACAATATAAAACATAAAAAATTGAAAACGAGTCTGAGGGTTTCAGAAGCTTCGCTTGAGTGTTTTTTTTTTCCAAGTACAATGTCCATATATGAACATGATTCTACCCACAAAATGCCTGCTCCCCATACACTGCCAAAATAGGGCCAGATACTTAACTGCTATCAGATACTACTTCTCTTTGTTTTCCTCAATAAACAGCTGCATTTTGGATGAAACACAGGAGGAATATTTATATTTTATTTATCAAAGATTGTCTTAGCCCTTAGGTTTAACCCCTCAGGCCAGTTTGCCTTATGCTGTACGCTTGACGTTTTATTTGCCACAGGCGGTTAACAATTTAAATACCGACTTGAGGACTTATTGTCGCATCCAGCAAGGAGCAGGTATCGCAGTCAGTATTTAAATTGCCAGCCACCAGTGGCAAAGAAAACGTCGCGCGTACGGGGTACAGCAAACCGGTCTGTAGTCCTTGTATCTGTTTCATGCCTTCAAGTGCAGTAGGCTTCATTCTGCATCCCACACATACAAGTGCATCCCAAAGATGTCCCAGAGATATCCCCCAAGGGAATAGTGAGAAGTCCCAAATATTACTTTTCGGGGACATCTCAGGGATATTAAAATGTCGGAGATATCCTAAGGATTCCCTTTCTTTCTGAAACGGATTCATTTCCTACCGCGCGGGAGACCTCCTCAACTCTGAGTTCTCTACTTGACTTTCTAAGACTTCTCGGTGCCAAGTTAATGACCCAATGGATAAATGACGTTAAAGGGGGAACTCCTCAACTTGAAGAACTCCATGATCTCATCTCCCTCCTGTAATATAGTTTTTTTTTTTGTTCAGTCCTTCAAATTCATGAACATATCCTTTCCTATCATATCCGTACCTTATATTTTTCAAAAAGGAGACATGGACTTAGGTATTCAACCAGGATAGCTGTGCCCAATTTTTTTGTTTCAGTTTCCGGTGCGTCGACATTCTTGATGCACGATACGTACGAAAATCATTGCTTCTCAGTACAAATCAGCAAGATAAGGAGGCATAGGAGAAGTACGGAGGTAGAGGAAGTTGCATCCAAGGCATTCTCCTTCCACTACCACCTTGTGTATGCCACGGAATGAGGTGGGAAGGTCCTACGTTATGGTTGAAACAGGCTATCCAATTAGCCAGTTCAACCCTGGATGTCAATCAGCCCTGATCTTCAGAAATTATTCCTGCATCTTCTAAACACAAAAATGCAAAATTCCCTAAAAGAAAGCACACGATTTTATTCCATGACAAGTTTGAGATCAAGGTCATCTCAGTAAAATGCATAAAGCAGGGTCTAAAATATTGGAAAATAAAAGATATATGCATGCGACTCAGACTCAAGTGAACATTGGCAAGCTATCACAGATGCAGCAGAAGCCAATTCACACTTGTGCTCGTGAGTTTAGTCCACTGCTCAAGAATTTCTTCTTCTCCTCAAAATATGCCTTGAACCGGGCATTGGCATACTCCTGGAATAAATATATGCACAAAATAGATGCATAAATCATGTGTGATGCACATAAAAAAAATAATAAAAAAAGACACAAACCCAGTATCCAAACAGGATCTTGCTGACTGGGGCATTGACAGCAGACCACAAGGCCCAGAAGAGGTGTGAAGCCAAAGTGAAACGCTGCACTTCCTCATATACTTGCAGCACTTCACGAGTTGTCACATCAATTGTGTCAGTACCATCATTGTCCTGTTCATTCAAACACTCCCCAGGGGAATTCAGCAGCCTCTTGTATCTCTCCAGGTATTTTCGAATGAAATGCATCTACATGAGCCATGGTATTCAATAAGTAAAGGAATTTAAATGAGAAGCACAGATGAAATTGGCTTAGAGTTCCCAGACCTGCTCCTCTGGAGATGGAAAATGGTTCTTATTATATGTGAAGTAGGGAGGTTCCTGCACTTGATAGCAGTACATCCATTCACAGAAATGGTTGGCAATGTCAAAAGCTCGATAGTTGTAGGCACAGTACTCAAAGTCAATGAGGACTATGCGTGAAATGTCCCCACATTCATCCCGTAGGGCCAGCAGATTCCCCTCTTGGAGATCGTTGTGAGAAAAGACCACTGGCGATTGAACCTCTACTAGGAACTTCCTGAAAACCCAATTCATCACATCAACAATACTGAAGTACCATCAGATAAAAAAATATCAGCATGATAGCATCATCAATTACTGATTGAGCCATACTGATGAACTGACAATTGATATCAGCTGTCTACATGGCATCATCTGGGCAATGAATTGACAAGACTTTCATACTGCTGATACTAATGGTTCTAAAAAAATATATATAGTAACAAAAAAAACAGAGGGACAGGTATGCCTGCAATGAGGCCTAATGCCAACCAGCCTTCTCCTCTTTCAGTGGTGTTGCTATCCTCCTCCCCCCCCCCCTCCCTCTTTTCTCAAGGCCATCTTGCTTCTACCAGGGCCACATTCCTGGTCTCGCAATTAAAAATGTCAAACTTTTGCACATATGTACAAGTCAGTGTTGCTAAGGGCAGGCAGCCCATGCAAATTTTGCAATTGGTATTGTCACTATTATTCATATCATCAAAACAAGCCATCAGTCCAAGGGCTGAATCTGCCATCTGTACACCCCTAATTATTGGCCATGTGCCTCTATATCAGTTCAACTGATACTTGGCTGGCTATTAACTGATAATAGCAAATGAAATTACTTGGCAAACATAGCATCTTTAAATCAGAGAAAAATTACCACTAACAGTTGAATTTGACAAAAGCTGGAAACATGCCCAAAGGTAACCAGCAGGACATCTTATATTCAAAACATAAAGGCATTTAAGAGTTCAATTTAGGCCTATGCATTTCCTGTGTGGCTTTAACTATGCAAGTTACTTCTACAGCATTGATATCAGGTAAATAAATTGAACAATTAGTCAACTCTTCATTAACTGGGCTCAAGATTAGGCACTTTGGGTCTAGAGTTTCAAAAACCTAATAGTATCCACTCCCTTTCTTTCCAAACCCAAATAAAAATTATTTGTATTGCAAAATGCCTTAAATTTCCAGAACAGTTGACTCTGCTTATTAGAATGTTGCTTAAATGGAGTACTCCATTTGACAGAATACCATTGCACTGTCCTGATTTTTGTACCATTACGTGCATCATGAAAGCAATGTATAAGGGAATACAGTTAAACAAACTCCGATTTTAGTGGACACTTTGCATAACTAAAAAAATAAATTATTCTTTAAAAAAAAAATTTGTTGATGCTGTAGTTTCCAAGGTTTTGTATCATAAAAAAAATTTTAAGGGTTTAGGATGACAATGACAGGAGTCTTTTCTCTAAGGGGTATCAAGAAAAGCATGCCTCTTGCATGACATGCAAGAAAGTAGGGTTTTTCAACAATCAGAATGGGGGCAGATTTCAATTGTTCCATGTAAAAAAACTGGAACAGATGGATTTTGGTATGAATTTTAGAGAAACTGTAGCATAAATCATGACAGGAGTAGGTGCTTTGCAAAGGGAACTGATTAAACTGTCTGAGGATATAACAATTCTTACAAATGATTTTACAGGCGCTGAGAACTTCAATCACAAAAAAGTGTTCCAGGACTTTTGGAGGGCAGTATATATCATTTAAAAAATTGACAGAAGAATGAAGGAGTACAGCACAATAGTTTTGGTTACATGAATACTCCAGATTATTGAATAAAGTTCACCATTCTCAGGAGTATTCCATTATGCAGAGTCAACAGTATTATGCCCACACAGGAATGAATTTTCCCAACAGATTACCTTGAAAAAATCCTGAATTCTTCTCTTCTTGTGCAAAAAAAATAGTATGTGTTCTCCAAGGACAGCAGGCTGTTACCTGTTACAGTCCTCTTATACATGTAGATCCTCAACATGAAGACAAAACAATACCATTTTTTGGGTATTAGAGACAGACATTTCTCCATCCAGTTAGCTTGTGCGCTGGAACTCATGATGGGCAGAAGCCTTTCAAAAGTGCTAAAGAAGGATGTGATTGAGGGGGTGATTCAAAGACAGTTGCAGGTCAGTATGAATGAATGTATGAACATCACACCTATCCAAGACTTTTCTTTTCTGTCACTCTTGAATTCAGGCAAGAGGGAAATATAAGAGGAGATGGTGTTTTTGTTCCTAGAATGAAGTGGGGGAGGGGAGGAAGATGAAGGAATGACTGGAAATGTTTTGCTTAATTTATATGACTGGTCAATGTGAAAAATTATTATATGTACACTTTTAATATCAATGGCAAGCATAGTTTTACATAGCCTAGAGCTTGTGCTTATATGCTGAATGGACATGAAGGGATTTTCATGGGCTTCCATGGGAAACAAAGCCTCTAATAAAGATGGGAGTGGTCATAGACCTATAAGATGCATATGCCTTAAAGGGAATTCATTCCCTTTGAAGGCCTACTTGGCTGAGGATCTTGGAAATATTTTTTCCCTCACCTTTTCAATGGACCTTTATTAATAAGTGCTGAAAGCCTCTAATACTTCTATAAGCTCTTACAATTGCAATCTCACCATTCAGCATGTAACCAAGCTTAGAACAAGTGAAGTGGTAGAAACCTAAGCCAGGTGACTTCAGCTGGGAAGTCAATGACCATGTCCAGGTCAACACAAGACTGCTTGAGAAGACGATGGGCCCACTTTGACAAGGTGTCCCACATCCATGTTGGTTCCTTCACAATTGGGACATCCAGTGTGTGTACATATGCACACTTACGAGCCACTGCATCCATGATCTTATTCTCCTGCAATTCCTCTCGTCGCAGTGAACGAGCCTGTGAAAGATTTATCTAAAGTAGTCCCAGTCCAGAATAACATGAACATACTTTTAATTTCATGATTTCCCTTACTGGGATATACTCTTCTAGTCTGCCACCTGGGAAAACACCATAAAGTCGAGGACCCACTGCCCTCTCTGACAGCACCGCAAACACGATAGATTCTGTGATCACATTATGGATTTGCATCTGACACTCTCCATGAACCTGCACATAAACATAATAAAAAAGGCTGATATGCACCTCAAGCAAAACAAAAATTGACTGTACGAAAGTAAATAATTACTTGTCCATAGATGCGAAAGAGAGCATGTCGAGGCTCCTGCACAGGTGACTTAGGATTGGAAGGAGGTAGGGAACACAGATAGAGGATATTGCTCAGCCCACCCCTGAAATGAGGGTATCATCACTCACATCACTTATGGAATCTGCCTCAAACAGCCTCACCAGTGATGAAGAGGACCATCAACCAAAGGACAAGATGAAGCACAAAAAAATAAAAAGATGAAATCACCAACTAAGCATTTTTCCTAGAGGTAGAACTTCAGTTGAAACAGGACAGAAATCCATGCTCATTTGAACCCAAGTCCCATCCCAGAAACAGATCTACTCTTTGCTGGATCCAATGCCTTTGAGTCCTATCTGTTCTTAGTTCCAAAAATGTTCATAACCTTTTGTGCTTACCATTCACAATTCATTTAATTTCACTAGTCAATATTTTCCATTTTTTCAATTCTTGAAAGGGGATCCCTTCATGATGGCTGGATGACTGATGCATGAGCAAAACAGCAGCAATGATGGATCCAGCAAAGTGCAGGAGGAGTGAAGTCCAGGACAAGATGATGGGAAGACCGAAATTAGGGGGCTGGCCTCTCCCTGTCTCTTGAAGAGACGCACAGGTCCCCAGCTGCACGCCTGCTCTGCAGTACTGCAGTACCGGTACTGGTTTTCCAGTACCTTCTGTTGTAACAGCCCTCAAGAGCTCTCTCTGTCTCATCTGTCGAAGGAGTTTTCCAACATTAACACTTCTTTAGCCTATTCAGGGCCTGTGGGTAGGATTCCCAGTTCCTATTTCATACTTTTATCAAAAGCTATCAGTAGTGCAAAAACTTAAAACTAAATTTATTTTTAAGAGAAAAGCAAAATTGAGAGAATACTTTGAGAATTAATTCCATGAAGACTTCCTGGAAAAATTTATAGTCAAAGAAACATCCTAATCACTGCTTTCTATACAGTAAAACTAAGACACTAGCACTGTAACTAGGTCCACTTCATGGTGTTGGAGGAACCTTTTCACTGGTTTTGGATGCTTCATGCCTCACAAAGCTTACAATGATAGAAACAAAGCTAACATGAAGCAAACTCCAGAATACTGAAAAACTGAAAATTCCCACCCTGTGAGACAGGCCTTGTCGAATATGCTAAAAACTCAAGATTGGGCTAGAGAAACAAACCAGGCTCCCTGAAGTGAGGAACGACATGAGTTGACCTACGTGATTTGCTTCCATCCCATCTGCTGGGCTGATATTTTCCTCCAACTTCCATTGAGATAGTCCCGGCAAATGCGATATGCAACATCTCGCAATTCTTCCTCCTTCATGGTCTGTTCCAGCTAGCAAAATAAAAGCAAAATCCTCTCACTTCAGAAGATAGCACTCCTCATTGGGAATTCCCAAAAATGGGGAAAATGTTATTCGGCTTGCATAAATGGAATACGACTTACTCACTCAACTTCCCCTTGTAAGGCACTATAAGCCATTATGCTGGCATCTAATTAATTTAAAAAAGGAAAAAACTAAAATTGGTTGTCAAAGTTCATAATCTTGAACTTTAAGTACTAGAAGAGTCTTTAGCTACATTCATAATTTGCATTTTCTGGGTTTGAAGCAGCAAGGCTATCATGTGCCTACAGGCTGACAAAAACCATGGTGACAACATTACATAACAAGCACATAACTCAGCATATTTGGCTTTATTAACACATACATGAAATTGATTTCACTTGGGGATCACCATGAAAGGTGGTAGCTGCCATTAGGATCAGATATAAGAATCTCCAATCATCCTCCTGAAGCTTTTGATCATGACAAGCTCTGCCTAACACCAATGAAGAAGTTGGTCAGCTTCCAATGTTAACACATCCTGCTTTACTATCCTCACTTTACTAGACCAAACTACAAAAAAAAATCAAAACCATTCCTTCATTAATCATAGCCCTTTGGTAATCTTAAGTGCAATATCCAAAACATTGAACATAGTTTCAATTTAGTATTTAGACATTGGCACACCAATGTTGCACGTCTATGATACATTGGAGTGCATCATGGAGATCTGTAAAATGGCACTAAAATTACTCATCGTGCATAGCCATGCTATATGAAGTATAATTAAAACCAACTCAACCAGGACATATCAGTATTTCTGTCTTTCCAACTATGAGACTCATGGGAAACATATCACATGTGGTTCCTGCATAGGCCAAAGCCCCCAAGTTGGCTCATTCACAATTCATGATGTCTCAAAGAGCATGCATTCTGATCAGTGCTTTGGTTGCCTTTGAGTCAAACAAAATGCATCTTTACATTCTGCAAGGGGATGGAAGAATGGGACTTCTACTATAAGTTTAAGCTGATATTAATTCCTTTGTGTTTATGTAAGCCTGATGCATTGGCATCAGCAACCTCTTTACAGCCACTCTAAGCTGAATCCATCCTGAATGGTTCCAAGAAAGCTGTGTTTGTTTTCTGGGGCATTTTACAATTCATGAGGCCTCATTTATATCTCCTCATTTCTTTCTAACTTCTTTCATTTGGAACATGATACTGATTTATGATAGAGTTATCATAAATCCCAAAAGCAGCCATGTTGAGGCAAGATATAGCCAGACAACATACAAAATATACATGGTGGAGTATCACTGCACCAGTATCCATGGGTTGCACCAGGTTCAAAATTTTTTGTATCTATGATGCAAGACCTAGAAATCTGCATCACAGATAATAGGATATACAGGGCGAGTCAAAAGTCATTGAACGACTTTAAAACAACTATAACTCGGGAAGGAAGGCATTAATTTGCAAACAGTTTTTTGCATAGGAAAGAGTGTGCAATAATTAACAAACATGCAACACTGGAAAAAAAAGCATTTATTTATTTGGTGTAAAAATGGCTGTAATTACAGGTCATGATGTCATGCACCATCAAGCTTAATCGCATGAGTCATCACCAAAAGGCAACTCCAGCGATCTCAGTGATGCATTGCTTCAGTCCAATGATCATGTGTGAATCTTTGGCATATACCTGGTCTTTAAATTAAACCCCACACCCAGAAGTTGAGTGGAGTCTAACCCAGCAACCTGGGAGGCCACTTAGGTGGATAGGCCAGGTTGGGGCCTGTCTTCAAAGCAAAACATTGTTTTGAAGCAAAATGATGCTTTTGAATGATATTTCCTCCAAAGAAAGTTCATCTGCATAAATAGAAAACTGTTTGGAGCAGCAAAAATTAAAAGAACATGATCGCAAATAGGACCTCCATTGTACCCTAAACATCACCAAAATGTTGCTTTTCATTTTGTGCAGACTCATCCCATTTTTTATTGGTATTTCATGCAAATTTCCATGTTATTTCCTCAATTAATGTACACTCTTTCATGTGGAAAAAACTGCTTGCAAATTAATGCCTTCCTTGCTGAGTTATAGCAATTCAAAGTTGTCCAATGACTTTTGAATCACCCTGTACATCAAGAGGAAAGCACTACTTTTCTTGAACCTTTCATGATGTTTTTTCACAATGGAGTCAGGCAGTACAAAAGGGGCCCATCCTCAATTTTTTTCTCTGAAAGATCACATATATCCAGCATAACATTACATCAAAATTTCAATGTCAAGTCACCCTGGTTTCAGCCTCATAAGATATCCAGATGAGTCATTCAATGTTTTCTAGACAAGGAAACATTTTTATTGTTTTGTTGAAAACAATATCAATGTTTTCTTGATGTCAGGAACATATTCATTATCACAGCAATCTCAATTTAAAATTCAAATGTATCATAGGATGCATGGTCCAAAAAAAAAAAACTTTTGTTCAAAGTGTGAAACTGCAACAACTCAACAAAAGAGTAGCCATATATCTTAAAACAAAACTTACCCAGTCAACAATTTACTACAGAACTTACCCAGTCAACAATCTGTCATTACACATACCCAGATTAATAAATGACCAAAATGGTAAACGTGTGCTACTAGGCCAACAGTATAAAGGTAAAGGCTTCTTGCTTAATGGCAGGCTGGAAGTAAACACCAGTAGTAAACACTGGAAGTAAACACTGGAAGTAAACAATAACAATTTTGATGGCAGATGCCTGACTCACTCACCAACTTCTGGATGTTCACTGGAAAAGTATGATCAGATTCGGCAGATTCCGAAGAATATCCGAATACGGGAGAGGTGGATGGGAAACATGGGGAAATGGAGACCGTCTGAGACGAATCTTCCTCACGATTTGGCTGCATACGACGAACGAAACCTAACATCAACCTCAGACGCTTCCTTTGGCCACCATGATCTTTTCTAGTTACGATCCCCAACGCTGAGAAACTCCTGACTGTGCTCAGACGAGAACAAAGCTGTTTATGAACTAGGCAATACAAGTTCCTCGAACGGCCTACATGGGACAGCATGTGGAATAGTGTGCGCAGACATATCTTATAATCATGCGCTCTTGAATCTGAACCTGTCTTCAGCCACAATTTTGTAGTGATGCTGCGAAAACTGGTTGCAACAGGACATATCACACTGAACATGTCTGCTTCCTGTGCTTGATAGTAATGTTTCTATGAGGTTATAACACAAAACAGTTTCTGCACTGTGATGGTAGGCGTAATGCGCGAGACAGCGAAGATCCGGTTGCGAAACACAAGAAAGATATCTAGCTTCAGGTTTCCACTGTACCCTCGTTGTCCGCGCGGAGTGCCTCAATCGATATTCTGTTCCTCAAGGTGAACTGGAACATGGCCAGTTTACCTTATCTTTTAGGGATGCTCAGCGTATGAATGGAAGCAGAAGAAAGGCAGTTTTCCAGGAGAAAACGTTGAGAACCGATTTATTTTTTGTTTCCTAAATTAGATCATATATAATCGATGCACGATGAAGTTAACACGTGTAGGAAGTTCCCATTTCCTTGGATTTGCCTATAACCCTCGTTCCGGATGACCTCATTTAATCCCTCAACCACCTGTAACCTCCCATAACCCTCCTTGAAGCCCCCCATCAGCCATCAGGAGTCAGTGGAATGTCATCCGGTTGCATTCCACAAAAAGGAAAAAAATCCACTTTTTTGGGAACAGGATATTGAAGACATAACGGGGCTCGATGTTCGAGGACGATATGAACGGAATGCGAGGGACTCCTGGTCAGGGAAAATATCTTCATTCAACTGCTACAGTACTTCTCACTCTCCCACTGGGAGTATCCTTCGTTACGTGAACGCCTTGGCAACGTAGTATCATTACTGTATGAATATCATCCTTCCGAGTTCACACTATGTGTCTCTGGAACAATATTGGGCAGTCATCATTCCATCTGGGTTTAGGGAATCGGCCTATCTCACATGTGTTAAAGAGTTTGAGGAATCAGGTTGGGAATCGGAATGCGACTGCGAATGAAAGTGGGCAGCTCCAAGCATCCCCTCCCTCGCTAGTATTCGCTCAGCAATTAATGACGTCATCCAGTTTCTATCTTCGTTCCTGGTCCCGGAAGAGATTTCACAATTGAACTAATGTCATGGAAGATGTCGCATGGAAAGCAGGGCCCCCCAGAAGGGGAGTGGGAGCATCTGGGACAATCTGCCCCGGGCCTCTGGAAACCTCTGGGCGGCATCAATGGAAGGCAGTTGATATGAATCCTTGCTCAAGAATATGCAAATCGTGGAATGGCATCCAGATCTCATGATCTCAGAGTGCATCGTGAATTGCTAGGCTAATCTGGTGATTCGAAAATCGAATTTACAGTACTTACGTACCTGAATCTCTCCTCTCACATTACAGTGAATCACAGTTTAATTCGAATCGCAATTCATATATTGTATTGTATTGAGTACAAGTCCTCACATTGGACAGCCCAGCATAACAGACGTGTACGATTCAATATGACTAGCGATCCTCACATCGTCTCTCAAACGCTCCTTGGAATTAGGTGCACCATGACTATCCTCAAAAACAGCCCTAAAAAAAGGTTCGATTGGCCAATTTCATCTCACCACTTCAATTCTATATCGTCAAAGAGTGGTGTAAAAAAAAAAATTTGATGAAATCGAGTCTGCACCCGAGATGGGGAGGGGGTGCACGGAGTTCACTAAACGAAGTGGAATGAGACTTCCTAATAACACCCTTTTTCCTGAACGAGTCACGAACTGGAGAAATCAAGCAAGCATAAAATTTCTAGTGGTTCAAACTGGAAGACCAAGTTTTCCTGTAACTAAATCCATTGCAACGAGATTCCTCCTCACTTACCTTACAGCCTTGGATGAATGGTGGAGCTTGAATATACATTATGGCGAAGACAGAGAGCAAAGCAGGAATAGATGAAGCAGATGACGCTGGCAGGAAGAGACTGAGCCCGTGCGAGATAGCGCCGTTCTTTCAAATGACTGATAACTCGAGATGGAGCAGCGGTAGCGTCGCAGAGAGACACGAGTCTGAGTCAGTCACTGTTTCCTTCTCATCCAAATACATTCAGTCTTGGTCTGCACCGACGAAAACGTGTCAGAAGTGACGAACCCTGATCCCTATCAGAACCTGTTTTCCTTGTGGACGCCCCCTCCCCCCCCCCCCCCCCCTCTGCCTCATCCACGATAACGTGCCCCGTGGCCTAACTCACGTACTCCCTATTTTTCACCTCTCCCCTGAAGGGTTTTGGAGGTGTGCACTGAACGCTCCTTTCTATTCCATATATTCCCATGCTTTCACTTCCATTCCATTCCAAATATTAACTTCTCTGAGGGAACAGCATTTCACTGAAGGATATCGACAGAGTCAATGGAGCCTTCAGGCTTGAAGTTAATAATGAGTAGCATAAGAGGCAAGATGACATAACCAAAAGTACTCTCAATCCAATTATGAATGTGCTCACTGAAAGAAACGAAGTCATGACAACTTACGGAAAAGTTTCTTAGGACAGTACTGCTACCATTACGTTAGCCTTTAAGGCGGTCCGAATGTGCACCAGGAGGATATAATCGGTTGACTTACATGTGATTTTTCCGTTCTTCGCTTCCAAAATATCTGGTTTATTTCTGCGTTAGCGGGAAGGACCAAACCATTCAATGAAATCGCACATTTTGAAGTAAGTCACTGCAAAGAGAGACTAATGGAAAGGGTCGGTGGGAAATTTAAAAGGTCGTATCCTAAAGTTTAATGTAAGACCAATAAAAAATAATTTCCCCGGTCGAAAAGTGAAAATGTAATGTTTATTCGGGCTTTGAGACATTAAATATTCGAGCTATATTCGAGAAAAGGATGGGAGAAAGAGGCAGAAATGCAATGTTAGAAAATATGACCCGATGAAGAAGATAGAAAAGCAGCTGAAAGAGGTCGGCCATGCTCATGGAAAGCCATATTTTAGATATGATTTGAAGACAAAAGAAACTTTTTGCGTCTTGACGCATATAACAGCATGTTATCATGAGCATGAATTTCTCATGAGGAAGTAGATGCACCAGGTCAATAAGATTTTATGTGGATTTGAGATTCTATCTACCTAGACGCCATACATACCATGGTTTAATGCGCGAATGGGTGAATGCCTAAAGAGAGGCATCTTCAACGAGAAAAACAAGCTGGGCGAGCCCTTTCCAAGAACTTTCACCAAAGGGGGGGAGGACCTAGTTTTTATCACCTTGAAAACAAGAATACTCTCACATTCTCAACCTCCATCGTTGCGATGCGGAGCTTCAGTAATAAGATTTTCGCCGTGAGCTGGATCGTAGGAGGGAATTTGGGCTTTCCTAGAGCAGTGATGCACAACCTGCGGCCCGCGAAGACCTTTTTTGCGGCCCCTTGGATGCCTCTGGTCTCTAAAGACCCATATTTATATGTGGCCTATTTCGTCTCATGTTAGAGGGCCTGCGGCTCTCGAACCCCTCGAACATGAGCCGAAATCTCAATTTGGCCCTCTAGGGGGAAAAGGTTGTGCACCACTGTCCTAGAGTATGTCATGGAGTGTGCTTTTGAGTAAATGGAGTGGATTCAAGGCTCCTAGAAATGACGGTATAGAAGACGAGAGGAAGACCTAAATTCTCACGGATTCACCTGTTCCCGGGACATCAGGAGACGACGCAGAAAAAATGATTGCCTTTTATTTCAGCTTTATACCTTCTCGCAACTAACCTTACTTTCGATGGAGAAAGGTAGTCATTTGACAAGCAAATCACGAAGGACCGCGGGAAATAATAAAATATCTCTGCAATCCTGTCGATTGAAAAATATACGCGGTATATACCGTAGCGAGAACTTCCTAATTTATTTCTCGATTATTTTTTTTACGTTAAAAATAAGTTAATTTTTAAGCGAAGAAGAAAAATCTACCAGTCGATGTCGTCGCCTTCCTGAACGGGAAGGGGGAAGATGAGATGACGCCTTTCCTTCACGGCCGCATACGTATGGCTACATGTTCTTCATGGAGGATTCACACGCTTACCCTCACATCTGTGTCGATGCAGAAACTTCACTCTGTCAGGGAGGAAGCATGTTTCTTCTCACTCATTGCGACAGCCGCCAACTCGCTCACTCCCGATTCTAATTGCTCCGAGTCAGAAGTCATTTCCCATGCGTACGGTTATCATAAAGATCCCTCTTTAATCTTTCAGCAGGCTCTCATATGAATAATCGCAAGGAAAGAATTTCCAGGATCCAGGGGAAGTGGGTAGGGGGATCTCAGGCCCATCCTCTTGAAAAAATCACCAAGCCCTCTCGAAACAAATTTCTGTATTTGCTCCCGATAGCATGAAACATTCCGTTCAACGCACTGCTGCGTTTTGTAATGCATCAGAGGTTTTTGTCGAAGAAAGGCCAACAGTTGTTACTCCAGATATTTCAGGCTTGGAGCCATCTCATTCTTCATGCGCTGCGTCCACACGCGGCAATGCACTTGTATTTGGAGACGTTAGGCATTTGCGGTAGAAAGTAATGCACCTAAGCTTAAATGCATCCATTTAATGTACCAAGGAACAAAAGAAAGTATGCAATGGTATTTAGAAAACCGTTGGGAATTCGACAGAAACCAATAATAAATCTGAACCTGGCGTTTCCGCTTGCGTATCCATTTAAACGTGCATGCACACGCGTGTTCCTTTTCTTTCGAACGTATGCAGACGCATGCAGATACGCATGTCGAACGCGTCACTAAATCACACGCAAGAGATGTAAAGTGAGATACAAGCCTCATATGGTGCTCATATGGTACGAAAGTGAAGAGGAAGCGAGGCGCTTCTTTTCCGAATGGGTTCTATTCATTTCCTGATGTCCAATGCATTCATTTCTCCTTCTTATGTTACGCATTACGTTTCCACCTTAGCAAATGGGTGCTGTTGCCTTCAAAAAGGAGCTTGCAAACGAACGCACACGTTGGCGCATGGGGATGCAAACGGGAAAATGGCGAAATTGCCTTAAGATGACGGAGCAACGATCATTTCAT